GAGCTTCATTAGGTCTGGGGTGTCAAACATACGGTCTATGGGCCACCAACGGGTCCAATCCAGCCCAGATGACACACTTGTGAAGGCCAAGAGGTGCCAGGCTTCAGAATCTGAGGCTCTTCCACCAGAATACAGTTCTCTGAAAAAAATAGACAAATAAAGATCCTTTGGCATTTTCATAGACAGTTGCCAGTGGTGTGTGTGTGTGTGTGCCTTATAACTACTAACTAGCGTGCACTGGGGCCCGTTGTAACTAACTCACGCCACTGGTTGCGGAGGTTAGGTTTGGCAAGTAAAGTTACTGTGGTTAGGTTTAGCAACAGAAACGTGGTGAGGGCGTACCTTAAAGTGACTTAAAGTTCACTCAAAACTCACCCGGTTCCAAATGCTCATCTTCTGGGGAGAGTCCTGTGTTTTGTGACCCATGCACCACTTCAACCTGCCTCCTTATAAGATTGCTCAGGACCGCTTCCTTGTTTACTCCCGTGCCTGCATTGGTCACATGATAGCAACCTTCCAAAAGACGTGGGTTATGCACGATTTACTGGCTCATGATTGCATGGGATGTGTACGAAATTGGGTGCTTTATTTTTCATAGGAAAACGTACAAACAGTTCGTAAGAACAGCCTATTTCAACCTGTCTCCTATCGTCCTAAATTTGTTTCAAGTGACTAGTGACATAAAAATATGTCACTAGTATGTCACTAGTATATTGTGAGAACAAGCAGCGATCTCATGAAATTTCGTGAGCTCTAGATAAAGCCCAGCTGGATACTACTCCAGGTGGAGGTGTCTCGTCCTCGGTCACATCCAGACATTGAAAATAAGGCTGCAACCGGTCCCATTCCTTGCAACAGAGGCATTCCTCTTCTGTGGGCACTGGGGCACAGCATTCACAGGTACACCACCAATCTCCAGAGCTACGCAGCCTTGCAGCAGCCATTCCTCCTCTCTCGTCCTCTACCTGTTGCGCCTCTCTCGCTCTCCTCCTCCGTTCTTCAATTTCACGAAGCTCTTCGTCAGTGTATTCTGGCTCAAATAAATAAGAGCGGCTATCAAACTCTGCAAAATCAAATTCCTCCTCCACAAAGTTGAAGTCTGGCAAAAAGTCAGCCATTATTCTATAAATCTGTCGTTTATCTAGAGCTCACAAAATTTCAGGCACGGTATGAGATCGCTGCTTGTTCTCACGATATACGGCCGCGCTTTGGAAAGCAGAGCTAAATGGTAAACAAACATGGCAGCACACCGGTAAGGTAAGACAACATGTTTACATGTCGTTTTCTATATGTTCTCTGACATTTATCCTAACGATATGAGGCGGTCTTTGTGGAGAAAAAGCTTGTTTAGTGGACTAACTTTGCACTTGAAGGTTGCCCGTTCACTTACGTTTTAACAGGTCTGACGCTACTATGCGCCCCGGCTGTATCTAGGCTAACGGCTAACATGCTAACTATTATTTTTATGTCACTAGTCACTTGAAACAAATTTAGGACGATAGGAGACAGGTTGAAATCAACCGAAATTTCCCTTTAAGGCACTGCTAGTCTGACTCATGTAGATTGTGGCTATGAGCCTACCATTGGGTGGCTTACTTACTTACATGCCACAGAAAACAGGACAACCCCCCCCCCCCCCCCCCCCCCCCCCCCCCCCCCCCCCCCCCCCCCCCCGCCCGACCTACATGCTGAAAATGGCAAGTTTTGAAGAAGTGTCAATTGAGCAGTGAGGCAGGCCAGCCAGCAAATCGCCTATGGTTTTAATGCATCCAGTGGGCTCCTCCAGAGCTAAAGCATAGGCAGACTTTACATCTAGGGCACCGATTATCAAATTATGTTTGATTCTTTTATCAGTAAAAGTTTAATCACACAGTGACAAACAACTGTTTATGTTATTTTGTATCATTTTATTTTTTGGAGCCATTTATTGACAGTGGTCACCTCCCCACATTTAAATGTTCCACCAAAACAAGTTCACCCTGACACTATTTTGCAAGGGCACTGTTGCTGCCTCCTGGGCTTAGTACCGCCCAAGATGACTGTGATTGGTTTAAAGAAACACAAACAAGCTGGAGCGTTTTTTCCCCATGTAGCAAAAAGATAATCAGTGATTCCAGACCTTTCTCTAGTGCAGTGGAGACAGGTCTGAGGCACTGCCAGACTTCTGCAAATGGTTTAAAAGGCAGGGGAAAACGGGGGAAACAAAGGGGAAAAATGTGCGTCCTCGATAGCTTTTACTTCAGTTTGGTGTGATGATGCCAGCGTTACTACACAAGTGTACCCTGGAAATCCAGAGTTCTCGCGAGAGCACAATTTCAATTTGCTCAGTGAGTCACTCTGGCAATCAGTAATGATGCTCATTACCCATGCCGTTGAAGCTGAGCTGCACCAATCACATCGGTGTATCTGATATAGGCGGGCCAGAGGCGAGCTAAACAGATGACGACAGTGCTGCGACAACAAAGTCCAGAATCAGTCAGTAAACATTGCAAGATGGCTACGGATGAACACCAGTTGTTTGAAACGGCTTTGGCCGCTACAATGAACGAGTTAGACTTGGCTTTTTCTCTAAAAGAGGAACAGAAGATGGCGCTCGAGTCTTTCCTTTGCAAGAAGGACGTTTTTGCTGTTTTGCTGACCGGATACAGCAAGAGTCTAATCTACCAGTTAGCTCCGCTGGTAGCTAAGCTCTGGATACTTCACCCCGTGTATTGTTCTGATTGGTCGTAGTGTTATCCAATTGCGTGCAGTGATATCTACAAATGCATGCTTGGTGCCGCCCCTCGAGTTGGGCCATTTTCATTACTCATGGCCAGATCCTAAATCTTTCTAGATTTGGTCTGGATTTCCAGGCTAACACAAGAGTGGAAATGTATGGAAAACTGTACATGTAATGACAGTGAGCAGTGAACTGACTGAATGCGCCAAACATTTTGTTAAAATTGCACTTATTTTTCTTAAGATGTACCAGGCTGTTAATCTGTTTTGTAGATGGATTAACATTTTCAGAATGTACTTCTTTACCCTAAAGGAAGGGAAACATTTGGAGCTGTTGTTGTTCATATGTTATAACGCAATGGTTTTACTGGTCCCGCCCACTTGAGCTCAAATTGGGATGTATGTTGCCCATGAACTAAAATTGATAGGTGGTGCTAATTCAGGTGCCAATGTACAGTTGCAGAGGAAAAGGATGCAATGACATGAGGTCATGAAAAGGCCTCCTGGGTGGCAGGTGAAGTGAATAACATTGATCATGTTTCAAATGCAAACTTTGGGTTCTGGCATTCATGTGGATGCCACTTTATACGCTCCACCCAAACACTGTTGCAGAGCAAGTACACCCCCTCATGGCAACAGCACTTCACGATGGAAGTGGCTCCCCATCAGGACAATGCACCATGTTACACATGACCCGATGAACGTGACATCGACCTGGCCTCCAAAGTCCCCAGGTCCCGATCTGATCGAGCATCTGTGGGATATGCCGGTACCCCTGAGGTACCCCCGATCAATGTTGGGGCCTCCTTGGATCAGACTTGGCCTTGATCTTTGGAGGCATGGACACAGGACCTCGTGGGGTATCCTGTTGTGTCTGGCACCAGGGCGTTGGTGACAGATCTTTTCAGCTGTAGGTTATGAGGTGAGGTACAAGAACATCCCACGGATGCTTGATCAGATCGGGATTTGGGGAAATTAGGAGGCCATGTTGACACCTTGAGCTCTTTGTCACGTTCTTTGGGCCATACTTGAAAAGTTTTTGCGGTGCGACATGGTGCATTGTCCTGTAGAGGGTACCACTGCCACCGGGGAGTGCCGTTGCCATGAGGGGGTGTACTTGGTCTCCAATGGTGCATCAAGTGGCATCCACATGAATGCCATGACCCAAGGTTTCCCAGCAGTTAATCATTTCACCTGTCTGTGGCTTTAATGTTTTGGCTGATTGGTGTAAATATATTTATAACTATGGCTGGATGTGTTTCTGAGCACTTTACTAATTGATGACATGTGTTTCTGAGCACTTTACTAATTGATGACATTCTTCTGTTCTAACCAGAAACCTGGGTCATTCAACATGCGCCTGTATGAGCGCCTTGAGTTTGGAGGCCAGATGATGGACCTGATGGAGGACTGTCCCAGCGTCATGGACCGCTTCCACGTAAATGACATCTTCTCCTGCAACGTGACTGAGGGCAACTGGCTCTTCTACGAGCAGCCAAACTACCGGGGCAGTATGTACCTGATCAGGCCTGGAGAGTACAAGAGGTTTAGCGAGTGGGGCGGCAGGAGCGCTAGGGTCGGCTCCATCAGACGCATCCTGGACTATTGAACAGTTTTGGGGGATCCCACAGCTGAATGGAGGTTTTGGGAAGGCTTCATGCTCAGATAAGGACCTACGAGACTATAGAAAGTACAACATACTGTACGTGAGGCTCAGTTTGACTGTTCTTGGGTAAAATTTGGTCATTTTTCTTCAAGGATTGGGTCAAAACTTGAAAAACAAATGGTTATAAGAATGCTCTGATTTTAGGATGGATTCAAAATTATTGCTAATCACCAACCACACATCAAGAACACCAACAACACTTTTGGACCTGCTGTTGATCAAACACTCACCATCGTAATAAAGTAATTGCAAAATGGAGTCTTAATAGTCCATTCAGTTGTGGGCCTTTAGACATTTGCATGAGTTGTGAACACTGTAAACTTTCGGGCTATTGTACAACTGCAATGATTTTATCTTATCTATGATGAGTCAGAGATGAATGTAAATCCTATAAACATCATATTCTACCTCAGGAATTATGTTGACCCATGTCTGTTCCCGATTAAAGAATAAAAAATATCTCCAAATATCTCTTTAGTTGTTAGATATACAGATTATCATGTGTCTGCCTCATTAAATATCAATTTAATCTTGCTGATGCTGTGCAGTGCACGTCTTTTGTACAGTGGCATTTTCTGGGGGTAAATTGTGATGAACATGGAGGAAAGAACAATAACTCATCACACACCAAGAGTCATCTATACATAAACAGATTTTTCGAACCCACGCGCACACCCCCACCCCTGATCCATCATCACAGTGTGGGATATATTTGAATGACAATGCTTTATGCTGTGCAATCACACAGCTGCCCTTTCTGTCTTTTTTTTATAAAGCACAGTGGCTTGGCTCAGAGACAGCATTGAGGGCTTATACAGTCTGATGCCAACATAACCATGGGAAAGGTAAAGAAAATTAACCACAGTTTAACACACATTTTCCACACTCCTATATTTCCTGTACACAATTTTAAGTTTTCGTACCTCTGCACCACTAGACATCCACGGAAACGATCTTTATGCCTGTGCAATGATTGCTTTTGCAGATCATATTTTACGAAGACAGGAACTTCCAGGGGCGCTCTCACGAGTGCAGCAGCGACTCTGCAGACCTTCACTCCTACTTCAACAGATGCAACTCCATCAGGGTGGAGAGCGGCTGCTTCATGGTGTACGAGAGGCCCAACTACATGGGCAACCAGTACTACCTGAAGAGGGGGGAGTACAGTGATAACCAGCGCATGCTTGGCATGAGTGACTGTGTCCGATCTTGCCGTATGATTCCCCAGGTTGGTCAGACAGGCTGAGATTTTGTTCAATGGTGCTGTAAAAATAGACACTGTTAAATGCTTTATTTTTGCAAATTAACCATAGTGATGTACCTGATTATTTCGGCACTTAAAACCAAATAAAATACCATATTACATATTATTATTGTGCTGCACATTGTAACAGATGTTTCCTTCCTGTGACAGCACCGAGGCTCCTTCAGGATGAGACTTTACGAAAACTTCGACATGTCTGGCCAGATGTACGAGCTGATGGAAGACTGCCCAGACATCCAGGACCGCCTTAGCATGTCTGAATTCAACTCCTGTAATGTGATGGACGGCCACTGGCTGCTGTACGACCAACCCAACTACAAGGGCAGAGCGTACTACCTGAGGCCGGGAGAGTACCGGAGATACAGCGACTGGGGAGGAGTCAGCCCAAGAGTTGGCTCCATCAGAAGAATCACAGACTTCTGAAGTTCGCTTCAGTGCATCTTTCCTTGAGTTTAATTGTCTGTTTTACCAATAAACGTCAACTGCTTCATGAAAAACATTCACATTTCATTCTGTGTATCTGACACCTCTCAGCCTCATGACTGAACAAAGATTTATTGACAGTTTGTAAAACACCTCTTGAATATGAGAGTGCAGAGTTTTTCTTGCTGCTGGTTGTTACAGCTGTGACTTTAATCTACTGTCTGGCTAAACAATGTATGTACCGCAGCTTCTGGTCAGCTCCTACAGTGTAGTTTAATCTCCTCTATGCTAGGCTTCCATACCAAACAATACATGAGTTGCCCTCTCCCACTTTTCGCCCCTGATGGGATAAGCCGGTCTGTATACGGGCAGGATTTATCCATATGATCAGAGAGTAGCAACACAGACTGGAGAGTGTGGGACGGTAAACTGACGTCGGAGTGTGAGACAAACAGAAAAAGATCAGGATGGATCTGGTGAAGCAGGAAACATGCAGGCGCTGTCTCAGAGTGACATGTAACAAAATGAATGAGCACATATTTGTCGAGGCACAACATAAAAACATGTTCAGCCCCACTCTTACAGTTTCATCAAATAATAAATGAATGAGTAAACTCAAGATGATGATTGTCATATTTGATTAATTATAATTTAATATCATGACTGACATGTAATTACCAAAACTTTAATATACCATAAAATACACCTATAACATTCTAACAATCATTCTTATATATTCATACTTTGTCATATATTCTGTTTACAGTTTGCCACCCTTGATTTGTCAGGTCCGCTCTGCAGTCTGAGCAGTTTTGAGATATTGAGCTTCAAAGTTACTAATATGAACCTTTTTGTTTTCCAAATAAAAAGATTAAAAATGAATCGTATGTTATGTTGTAATGTAACATTATGTTACGTTAATGTATGAATAACTCAATTTTGACAAAAATGTCAGAGTGAACCTTAAAGTTACAAGTTGTCTTAATGATTTAAAAAAAAAGACCTAATATTAAATATATATATATATTTAAAAAAGATCCTTAGCATAACAGTCCAAAAACTTTTTTTTTTAAAGAAATCATACAAATTTCTACATTTTCTTTTCTCTCTGTACATAAAAGTTTTCTCTGTATGTCACTTTCATAATGAAAATTAATAATCACAATTATTTATTTTCTAACTAAATAATATGTTGCATTAATATCAAACATCCGTGACAACCCTAACAACATTTCAACATAACATTTTAAGATTTTTATAACTAATACAGGTGTGTGTCCATACATTTAATGTCTATAGTCTGAAGTTATAAATTAAATAAATACACAGATGAACCTCAGATATCAAGGTTGTGATATCTTTGTCTTTGTTCATATATAAATGTATTCTGTTTTTACTCGTGTGGCACCATACCACCAATATTTTCTGTGACACCATGATGGAGAATATCTTCCATTATAGATGTATATAAACACAAACAATACACACAACCAAAACTCAAGACCACATACTCCTTTTGCCTTGTAATATTTTTTGGAAGCCTTCAAAGAGTCAAATATGGCTGTGATACATCAGGGGAATTGTAGTCCATTAAGTCAAAACTGCCAGTTGAGGAAACACGCTGTACTACACCTGAAGCTGGAGGTAAATGTGGTGTTAGTACATGAAGTAAAAAGCATCCCCCACACACACACACATACAGGTTACATCCTAACAATGTTCAAATCCTGATAAAATCCTTCTGTCCAGTGCAGCTCACAGACCAACAGCTCCGTACACACTTACTTATTTGCATACAGTGGGGCTGCTCAGGTAGAGCAGGTAGAGGGAGACTGAATGGCTTCCTGCTCTGTTATGCAACATATTTAATGCGAAAGGGCTGTTCCATATTGTTCTGCAGCCATTGTCCGCTGGATGTGTGGATACCATACTAGTCCTTTCCTTTGTCCATGCGTGTCAAAACACCAAACCAGTTAATTATTTATCCTTTTTTTCAAATACAAATCCATATTTCTGACCCAATGTTGTGCTCCAACAAAAAGGTAAACATGTGCCAGTAGCCTGCAATTATAACTATGCTAGAATTTGAATAACAATACTTTGTTTGTGAGGAGGTAGTATAAAAAGCCCTGAAAACATGGGGAATCTCTCCAACGGAGACCATGGGCAAGGTAAGTACTGTTTTTCCTCTCTGCTCACATTCAATGAAAGTTGCCACACAGCTTTTTTAATCTGCTCCCAGTTTGTTTTATGTTGTGCTGAATTCTGTTTCCTCTCACCCTCCACCAGATTATCTTTTACGAGGACAAGAACTTCCAGGGTCGGAGCTATGAGTGCAGCAATGACTGCACGGACCTTCACTCGTACTTCAGCCGCTGTAACTCCATCAGGGTGGAGAGCGGCTGCTTCATGATCTATGAGCGACCCAACTTCATGGGCCACCAGTACTTCATGAGGAGGGGGGAGTATTCCGACTACCAGAGGTGGATGGGCTTCAGTAGCTGTATCCGCTCGTGCAGGATGATTCCGCTGGTAAGTGACAAAGAAGACGATGAAAGATCGCCGAAGAAATGATTCACTTTGAATTTGGCTTTGAAGTTTCTAATCAGTAAAGACTCAGTAAGTCAGTAAACACTTCTCAAGTTTTATGAGCTTGTGGTAACAGACGACTTATCTTCTCCTTTGGTCCCACAGTATCGAGGCTCCTACAGATTGCGTATCTACGAGAAGCCCGACTTCAGCGGTCACATGATGGAGTTCATGGATGACTGTCCCTGTGTGTCTGATCGTTTCCATCACCGCCACGTCTACTCCAGTAATGTTATGAATGGCTTCTGGATCTTCTACGAGTACCCCAACTACAGAGGCAGACAGTACTTCCTGAGACCCGGAGAGTACAGGAGGTACCGCGACTGGTGCGCCACCTGCGCCATCGTCGGCTCCTTCAGGAGGGTCACCGAATTTTAGCCATTGAGCGAAGCCTTGCTGTAAATATCAAACACTTTGTTTATTAAAGATGTTGAATTTTTAATCTCCTTCGTGAATGTGTTTTGATTGATGTGTGACCTCGTTCTTTGACTGTGAGGACATACAAGGAGCCGTAGAAAGACAATAAAATGGCTGCCAAGACTTTAACTGTGTGGACTGCAGATCTGATGCTCAGTTTGTGACTTTTATGTACGCTGCTGTCTCGGCCAGGTCTCCCTTGAAAAAGAGATCATTGATCTCAACAGGATTTACCTGGTTGAAAAAGGGTTAAATAAAAATGATAAAAAATAAAAACATGAGGGTTAAAATGACTGAGTAGTAAGAGGTGCTAAAGAGGTGATAAACTACCCATCAAAGAGGGCAACATTTGTAAAATCCTTTCTTCTGTGATTCTTGTTTTGACTCACGCACTTTTACAATATTAATTATAAATCATTATATTATACACCACTAAATTGATACATAGTTTACACACATTTACACACAGCCCCCCCATATTTTATTGGTCGTGAAAAACATCATTTAGCATCATTATTATTCAGACTTAATTTATTTTCTTGTATCTAAAAGTAGAGTGGGAGTTTTATGATTTTTTTGTGGGTCGAAAATATGCTAAATCAACATAAACCTGACTCTATGATGTCATTATGTGCTCTCTACCAAATGTATTACCATTAGAAATGTTTTTATTTGTGGAGGGAGGGAGACAGAGGGTGTGTTTGTAAATCCAATCTGACGCTCTACACTAGAATAAGAGCGCTGTTGTTCAAAGAAATGTTTCTAAATATATTTCCAAGTGAATTAACAAATGGTTAAATTAATCACACACTCACTCGGCTTTGCGCTCTGCTGCTCTGAGAGTGTGGTGCTCTGAATAACGACAGTACAGTCCGACAGCGCTGTGAATTCATGAACGGTCCAGTTTGTACCCCATCATGATTGAAGGGGAAGAGAAAGAGATACATATCATATCAACGCTTTATTCCAGACTCCATTACTTTTAGGAGCAGTTATAAAATTAAGTTTGGACTGTTTATCTGACAAATGACAGAAAAATAACATTACACATTGAAGACTGTAACTCTAGTAATGAAAGCTGGAATCACTCGTCCATACTTTAGTAAATAAAGCAGGTGAAAGCAGGAGAGAGTCAATGTCTCATTAGTGAGAGACGACTTCACTACGCTATAAATCCTGCAGAACAGTGGTGTCACCACCGACTTCTTTTTTCACCTTGCAGGCTGAGGAACTTCTTTGAGAACATTTATACTTTCTCACCCTCCATGCAAGTGTCCAATTAGAGCTGCTGGTGCATGATCCCTCACTGGCTTCCCACTCATGTGTGTCAGATGGTCACACTTGAGCAAAGCTTCGCTCTGAATCTTATTTTTGTGATTTTTATTAAAAAGAAAATAACAAAAACAAAACAACAAACAGTTATTTCAAAGCTTAAGTTTGGTGGTATCTTCCATATCAGTCAGTATTTGCATTAGTGTGTTTCATCATTTAGCCAAACCTGCACAAGTCAGTTTGATAATCCAGTTGTTGAGTCCACTTATTGGCTGGTCAAACGATTTCAGTGACAACATCAGATCAGTGTCCAAATAAACCAGTTCATTGGCCAGTGTTTTATCTGAAGTAACTGCAAAGTTTAAAATGAATTTCCAGAAAATCAGCAAAAGAAAATGCTAATTAATGCACCTTTCTGTCCACTCTGTACTCGTGTGTGAATATTAGCAGTCGGGCACATTGAGGTAAAAAAATTCAGGTGCAATTAAACGACTGCAGAAAAAGAAACGAGTGGAATTTTTCATCTCCTCATTGGACATTTGAGTCATGCGTCACGTATGTTGTGATTTGTTTATCTAAGTCTGTTTTCTTTGCACCTTGTTGCAGCCATACACCAACTGTTTGCAATATTTTTCTGAATCTCACTCAGGTTTTTTTAAATTGTAAATCATATCTTTTGTCTCTGTACTCTATAAATCTGTATCCTTCATTATGTTTTTGATATTTCATTGCTCTGTAAAGCAGTTTGAATTTCCCTGCTGTATGAAATGTACTGTACAGATCAAGTTGCCTTGGCTTATGACATCAGCCTCGTCCAGTGCTGAGTTAAGGTACGTTATATATAATTAACACATCAATTTTTATCATTTGATTTGTAGAAGTTTCTCTCCTTGTTCATAAATCCTTCATACTCCATGTGTTAAAATCACAATTCTTAATAAATTCATAATTTAATTCTTCATCAACCGAGACATTAACACAAACTCAGGGCTACTTCATCTCATCTTGGTTGTCAAACTTCTTCTATAAATAAACTTTAAATTACTTGAAAGACTTTATACGTGACGACTTTTAATGTGTCGACCAGCCTTTAGAAAAAGAGTTAACTGTCAAACAGACTTTAACGCTACTCTCAAACAATTTATAGTATAACTAACTGCACTTCATTAATTACTGTTTTAACACCCTATTTTTTCATTAACTTTTTGGAGATTTATAAATCCTATGAAATGAGCAGTTCAGTTGCTGAGTCTTGTTTGGCTGCAGTCTGTGTTTCTTTTAAAATAGTGGTTATGCTCAAGTTAAATGTGACATGTTGCTACAAACGGCCTTTTAAATAAAAAATGATTTACGTGAGATTGCATAATCAACATTCTGTCAATTAACACGACAGGATTTTTTTATCAGTCGAGGGGAGACTGCTGTGAAAAATACAAAAATACAAAGTCACTCTGTTTATTTCTTTATACTTAGTGAATATTTGTCCAGGTTCTGGGTTTCTCATGGGTTTGTCGGGGACGCTGCCTGCTGTCACGTTCTTTGATGGTCAGACCATAATGTGGAGAACGTTCTGACTGAGAATAGAACACACACAAAGCTTATGCTTATAATAGACAATGCAGATGACGGCTGCCAGAAAAGGATGGATGGAGAACCATTGTTAACACATTTATAGACCCCGTTCAGCAAAAGTCATACTGCTAATTCATCAGCTTTGCACATTTGAATAACAACACATCATGGCCCCTGGGCTTTTGTATAAAAGGGCTCCAGAGTCAATGAGTTGGCAGAGCAAGTTGAACCATCCACTGGTAACCACCTAAACCACCATCATGGGCAAGGTAATGGGATGTTTACTTGTGTTGTTACATATCTACAAATAATTTTTACACTGCCAAATACATCTAACAGTTAAGGTTTGCACTGATGTTTGATTCGTAAATGTCTGTTTCAGATCGTCTTCTACGAGGACAGGAACTTCCAGGGTCGCTCCTATGAGTGCATGAGCGACTGCTCTGACATGTCCTCCTACCTGAGCAGGTGCCAGTCCTGCAGGGTGGAGAGCGGCTGCTTCATGGTCTACGAGCGTCCCAACTACATGGGAAACCAGTACTTCCTGAGGAGAGGAGAGTACCATGACATGCAGCGTATGATGAGCATGGGCATGATGTTCGACAACATCAGATCCTGCAGAATGATCCCCTATGTAAGAAATCTCAGCTGTACATCCCTTTAATTCTCGTATACTTTAACATATGTGGCTGTACTCACATGTTCCCTGTTCTGTCTTACAGCACAGAGGTCCATTCAGGATGAGGATCTACGAGAGGGAGAACTTCAGTGGTCAGATGAACGAGCTGATGGACGACTGCGACAACATCATGGACCGTTACCGTATGAACGACTGCATGTCCTGTCACGTGATGGACGGCCACTGGCTGATGTACGAGCAGCCCCACTACAGAGGCAGGATGATGTACCTGAGGCCCGGAGAGTACAGGAGCTTCAGGGACATGGGCATGAGCGGCATGAGGTTCATGAGCATGAGGCGTATCACCGACGTGTGCTAGACTTCTGTATTTGACTCCAGTGAATAAAAACGATGTGTAATTCATAAACATGTTTGTCGAGCATTTGCTTTCTTTGTGTGGTTCGTCCTTAAAATGTTAAAAAAAACTCAAAAACAGGTCAAACTTACTTCATAGTATTTTCTAATATTGCTTGTTTACATCAAAAAATAATAATTAATTAATTTAGCTGCTCACATTTGCAGCTTTGTTTCTATTGTTATAATGAGACTGGACTCACCACTCTAGCGACGCTGCAGCATCTTTAAAGTAAACAAGGCGAGAAATGTAAACATGCCAAACCACAAGCTCTTTAATCAGTGATATATCACGATGATTTGAGAGCTTTGCACAGTTATCATATACATTATAAAATATAACTGATTAAAACAGTAAATAGATATCAGACAGTATAAAGTAGCACAGATAGGAAACATTAGTATAGATGAATACAAAAATAAATATTAAATTCAAAACAATAATGGCTGTTAAATAAAAAGACAGGCTCAAGAATTAAATTGTAGTGCTTTTACTTTGAAAGAGACTGTATGCAAACTGTACATTTCCTGTGAAAACAGAAGTGTATTTTGAAAACAAACAATGCATGTAACAGGCTGAAGTTGACACGGCGTCCCAGAACGTTAGGACCCCCTCAGAAACGAGGTGATTCACCTCAAGGGGTTTATCCTAATAAAATAAACTTAATCATCAATGTCAACAACCAACATGCCCAGAGCACCTTGGACGTCATATGTGGACGTGGAAAGTCCGTAGCGCACCTCTCTCCATGGTGATACCCACACTCTGGGTCAGGAAGGCGGTAATACATTTACAAGCTGGTTGCCAACCGCCAAAAAACGTAGAAGAAGAAGAATGCGAGACTTGTTTTGTTTCCGGTTCTGCGGAAAACTCGCACAAGTTCGTAGTTTTCACCAAAGTCCGCACACAGGATTCGTATTTCTTTTAATGCACATTTCCCAATGATTCGAATCACTTTTGGATGGAAACATAACTAGTGACGTTGTTCATATACAGTCAATAAAATAATAAATATCATGACACATATCTGAGGATGCATACATTTTTCTCTGATATCAAAATAAATGAGCTTATATATTGTGTAAAGGCTGGGGAAAATATTCTAATGGATGACATATAGTAAACTCAGCATAACCTACAGTTCCCTAATATTAATTCCATCTGTGCAACATTATTATTATATCATGCAATACTCACAGTTCTGTTGCAGACACTGGAAAACTGCTCTATGGCCACCTAAGTCAAAGCATGTGTGAGTCCTTACACTTCACCAAATACACAACATTGTGAGGAGACGAGAACTCATCTGTTGCTCATTTGTTGCTGCCATGAGTCTGGTGCACTTACAGATCATCAGGCCCATCTGATGATGATGATGATGATGATAAGAGGAGGAAGAAGAAGGTACACTTGGGGGGAAATTTTCACTCTGTTGTCAAACACACTCAGGCTCGCATGTATTAACTGGACTTATACAAACATGCATTAAATGGAGAGCTGTCAGAGTGAGGGGGCTGCCCATGGACAGGCACCCCAAGCAGTTTGGGGTTCAGTGCCTTGCTCAAGGGCACCTCAGCAGTGCCCAGGAGGTGAACTGGCACCTCTCCAGCCACCTGTCCACACTGCATATTTGGTCCAGACGTAAGCCGTCGTCCAGTTCCCGACCCAGGTCCCTGTGGACTGAGCTACTGCCGCCTCTCTATGATATGATTTATTCTGAACAAATATTGTTACAATTATATGAAATGATTGATTGATTAATAATATTTAGCTGTGAGCACCTCACAGTTGTGCAGTGAGGCTCATGGTCTGCCTTGAACACTCAAAACAATACGATGTGTTTTGTGTCAAATGTATGAAACTGGTTAATTTATCAAAAGTATTTACACAATTTTTATGCTTATTTTTCTAATTGATGTGCGAGTGTTAAATGTTTTAGATATGGACTGACTTTAGAACACAGAGAGGATACCAAGTGCCAGTGAGGGTGCACTTATCATTCATGAAACTTTGTGTTTTATGAATTAATTTCCCCTGATAACATTGATCATATTGATTCATATTAAAACTGAAGTGAATGATGACAAACACAACATCTGTATTGTCTCAACAGATAAACTTTTAGGCATTCTTAGTCGTCCCTGTTGGGATATGTTGCACTGTTCTGCATTAAATATGTATTAGGGTTATTAAATAATGGTTTTGTCAGACCCAACATGGCACTGAGAGATATTTCAAAGATGGAGAAGGGCTGCCATCTGATGGTGACTGTAACACCTCAATTAAATCTTTTGAACACAAAGATCCTGCACGTGTGTCGACCTCTTAAACACGAGGTCAAGTTGTACTTTGTTGTGTGAGTTTAACTTCACTCAGTAATAAGTAACAGAGGAATTCATTTAAAAGAGAATCACTAGGTTTTATTCAAAATCTTGCTTTTATACACTGGTGCTCTAATAACAGGAATCCATGATACGCCTCATGCTCATGAACCTCATGCCGCTCATGCCCATGTCCCTGAAGCTCCTGTACTCTCCTGGCCTCAGGTACATCATCCTGCCTCTGTACTGGGGCTGCTCGTACATCAGCCAGTGGCCGTCCATCACGTTGCAGGACATGCAGTCGTTCATACGGTAACGGTCCTGCATGTTGTCGCAGTCGTCCATCAGCTCATGCATCTGACCACCGAAGTTCTCCCTCTCGTAGATCCTCATCCTGAACTGGCCTCTGTGCTGTAACGTGAAATGAGTGATTTAGATTATTACATTAAAATACTGGAATGATTTTTATGAAAGTTTTGATTTAAATTTAACAGGAGTTAGTGTACCATGGGGATCATGCGGCAAGACCTGATGCAATCACTCATGCCCATGCGCTGGTAGTCAGAGTACTCTCCCCTCCTGACAAAGTACTGGTTTCCCATGTAGTTGGGGCGGTCGTAGACCATGAAGCAGCCGCTCTCCACCCTGCAGGAGTGACACCTGCTCAGGTAGGAGGTCATGTCAGCGCAGTCGCTGCTGGTCTCATAGGAACGACCCTGGAAGTTCCTGTCCTCGTAGAAGATGATCTGGAAAAGAAACCATCATACTGAATAAGTTTTTTTTTTTTTTTTTTAAACATGGTCATAATTATGTTATAAATAATAGAAATCCAAAGCTGTACACACCTTGCCCATGGTCATGGTTACAGTTACTACTGTTTTGGCTCAAGGGGACTGCACACTTTTCTCGATGTCCCCCTGTTGCTTTTATACCTGACCTCCCACACACAGGATACATGACCCCATTGTTCAAACTCCTGACAGAGCAACATGGAGCAGAGGCCCCCGTGTTCGGTTCAATTCAAAGTGACCTTCAACAGATCGTGAATTGCGGTGGTTGCATTTGTGACAGGAGGCCCCACTTTGCATTGTCTGTGCTGCTGAGCGTGTTTACCACAAACACACCTGCCTCTAAAGGCTCATTACACAGGTTACCTTTAATCTCGTGGCTGACACAACACAGCACAAGGTTTTCCCCCCTAAAGATAGGGTTCATGGCTGTGAACAAATGCACGACCTGCTGAGGCAGAATAAAAGTTGACTTTAGAAAAAATGACATAACTTAGGGGCGAGGATTTATGTTATATGTTGGACATAACTTAATTACAACCTGACAAAGTGAATGTAATCTACAGTATGCAATGAAAGACTTAACATAACGTGTCTGTTGTACAGTTCCCCCAATGTAAATTATGTTTTTCTAATGTCTTTTTCCTTTCTATTTATGTTATTTTTATTTATTTATTGTTGCTGGTTGTGTTCCTATTTATTCATTTTTTTAAATCATATTTTATTATATTTAAATTTTTTCATTATTTTTATTGTATTTATTTTTTAATTATATTTTATTATTATTTTTTAATTATTTATTGCTGGTTGTGTTCCTATTTATTCATTTTTTTAATCATTATTTTATTATATTTTGTTTCATTATTTTTATTAGATTTTCTGTAACTTTATTGTATTTATTTTTTAATTATATTCATTATTTTTTTTATTTATTTATTTATTGGTGCTGTTTGTGTTCCTATTTATTTAGTGTTTATGTTTTTACTGATTTTATTATTATTATATTTATTTATCTATTTTTATGATATTTTATGATATTTTTTGTTTATCTTTTTTTCATCAGCAGTGCCCTAACGTCCCTGCACTGGTTACCAGTAAAGTAAAGGTCTGAGTTTAAGGCCTTCTGTTTGTCTTTAAAGCCTAACATGGCCTGGTACCCAAATCCATCTCCTTCGCCTCTTTTCCAACCCAAGACCTCTCAGATCCTCAGACCTGCTGCTCCTGGTAGTCCCAAGATCCAGACTAAGGGGGAAGGCGATCGTGTGTTTCCAGTAGTCGCCCCAAATTTCAGTGAAGTGCTCCTCCTCTGTAGACACGTTTAAATCTGAGCTGAAGACTGACATGTTTTCTAAGGCCTTTGATTGTTCTTAAGGATTCTGTTTTATCTTTCATATGTTATTTTCAGATCTTACTACTTTATCTCCTTTTGCACTCGTTTGTTTGTGCATGTTTTTATTTTGAGAGACATATATTTATTTATTGTACCACCTCACCTAATTTTACTGTTCTACTCTTGTTCAGTAAAATGATTTCCAGTTTGCCATCTCTGTAAAACTTTAGTACAAAGATCTGACAAAAGGATAAATACTTTTTATCTGAAAGAAATCTACATGCGCTTCATGCTCTGTGACAGAAATTCACTGTACTTAAAAATAATGTGTGTTTTTTACAAACTTGACACAGTCCCACTTTTGGACCATGACCCACCAGTTGGGAACCACTGCCCTAAAACCCCACTGGCCACAGGTACAACTTTCATCACAAGATACCTCTCACATATGAGGGACATGTATTTGAAATCACCAAACAATCCTGTGCTGACAAAGAACCACAATAACACTCTTATTTTTATCTCAGCTAAAAAAAAAAACATGTAATACTAGAGATGTGATAAATGAGTGGTCATCCAGTGTGTGTGTGTTCTGATGTGGCATGGACAGACCTGGAGACAGACTCAGGTAATGTTCAGAAATGACAGGATTTATTATTTGGTCACAGAGTGGAGGTGAGGATGAGGAGGAGATGGTGGAGGTCAGAGGGCAGGGAGTGTTGCGTGATGGCTGAAGAGGTTGAGACGTGGCCTGGGGGGAGCAGGGTGGTTACTTAGAGGGGCTGAGGGATTTGCAGAGGGGGCACAGGCAGGCAAATAAGAAGGCCCACCAGAGAAGATGATCCTGGAGCAGAGGGGAACAGGATTAGGCCAGATGGGAAAAACAACATGTAGACTTGAACAAGTTAGTACTGCTGCAGCTGAGTGAGTGATTTGGTGATGAGTGGATAAATGACTGGAGTAGATCTACTGGAGCTTGATGAGGGGCAGGTGTGGGTAATCAGCAGTAATCAGGAGCCAGGAGGGAGCAGAGGAGGAGAGGAGGACCACAGACACACACAGGAACACACAGGTTGACACAAGTAAAAGACCCCGGGGTCATGGCTGTGACCCTGAAACTATGTTGAGTTCAGAAGCTGTCAAATGTCAGTGTGATTCCATCCACCTGTTTTTATCTGCATTTTCAATATGTGCATAAAAACTATTAAGTGGGAATGCAATAATTTTGAAAATCTCAAATGCAATTAAATGCATTCATTCATTTATTCATTCTTTCATTAATTCATTCATGTTAGGGGTCCCAGGTGTGCTGGAGCCTGTCCCAACTGTCACTGGGCGAGAGGCAGCGTTCACCCTGGATCACAGGGCTGACACACACAGAGACAGACAACAGTTCACACTTACACTCACACCTACAGACAATTTAGAGTCACCTGTTGAACTAAAGAAGAGAGAACATGCAAACTCCACACAGAAGGGCCCCAGCTGGCCCATGGATTTGTACCCACAACCCTCTTGCGTGAGGTGACAGTGCAAACAGCTGCACCACTGTGTCACCCAACAAACTAATGAAGTGTCTAAATAATGACGTCTCCGGCTCACTTTTAACATGGAGAGTGAGGTGGTGTTGTGTTGGAGGACTGTCTCTATCATATGAAACTCTTGAAGAAAAGTGTCAGCACATGGGAAGAAAAAAGAACTTTAGGCACTCATGCGTGGAGCAGGAACAAATGCACTGGAATTAAGTTAAAAAGCCGTTATTCATTGCTTTCATTAAAACACTGGACAGTTTTGACCCTTATGCACAACCCTGTACGCACACAGAGTTGTTTGTACAATTCTTTCAAGAGGACAGAGCTGTAACACCACTTGCTAAAAACTAAACTCTCTATTTCCACTGTCCAGTGTGCTGTCATGTGTCATTTTGTTGCTCCTCGTCTGCAGATCCCTGACTGGAGAATTAGCACCACCTCCTGCTTATCTTAATATACCAGCTCTTAATATTTGCATACTAGTAGTGGACGGAAAGCACATAAATTCCTATTTTCTTTTGCTGATTTTCTCTAAAACTGAAAATTAAGATTTGTGCTACATATGGTTGGAAACCTGACTTGCGTAAGTAAGAAAGCGCCCCCCCCCCCCCCAATGCAAAACATGAATAAAATACAGATCTGGTGCACACAAGTTATAGAGAGAATAACAGAGGCCCAAGAAGTGAGCCCTGCTGGACACCACAGGACAGTGGGGAGGAATCAAATACAAAGTCACCAATACAGAGTGAGAAACTCCTGTCAGAGAGATATGAAGGAAACCAGTCTAATGCTTCAGCTGATATGCCAACGCAATCACACAACCTGTTAATGAAGATCTGAGGTCCAGAGGTACGAACGCAAAACAGTCACCTCCGTCAGAGGACATTAAAATATCACTTGAAACTCTCAGAAGTACAGTTTCAGTCGAGTGCTGTTCCCTAAACCCTGACTGAAACTTGTCGAAAATATTGTGTCTCTCTAACGCAATTGTGAGTTGACAGGCAACTTTTTGTTTGTGATTGTGTGTGTGCCATCATGGATACATTTGGTCCTGGAGACACCTGTTGTAGTGGAACTACCACATAAAAGTTTTTGAGTATTTTGCCAGACGTATATTTTTATCTGCCTGTGGACAGATTTTGTTGCTGCGATAGTGTCACAACTGTGCAAGATGCAGTCAAGAAACTACACAGGTGTGTAGTTCAGATCACAATGAAGGCCGAGTTGGAGGATGGGTGTGATCCTAGCTCAGGTTCTGTATAGGTCCGTTTCCACTGAAGAAGTTCCTGGTACTATTTGGGGGGCAGGAGCTACTACAGGAACGTCCCCTCGCTCGGCCCTCTCAACCGCTGTGTCTCCACTGAGAGCGGAGTAGGAGGAAGGTTCCTGTAAAGTTACTGGGCTCTGGATGTGATGTAATCATTGCGCGACCAGTTTGACCGGGGCGACGTAGGGACGCCGTTAGCTGTTAGCCGATAGCGGTGTCTGTAATAACTCACTAAATGGCCCGTGAAAAAAATATTTTTTCCAGCGGATGTCTTAGTTACAACATGATTGAGCTAACTGGAGTAGTTTCATGTCGTATCCGACAACGGGAGGCTTTTAACAGATGACGTCCTGATGTTAGCTTTGATGCTGCTGTTAGCTGTCCCTGTCAGCTGATGCTTTCTAGACATTGTGATTTTCCAAAACTGAATAAATACCACACACAGCAACACAAAACTGCTTTGCTAGCTCAATCATGTTGTAACTAAGATATCCGCTGGAAAAAATATTTTTTTGACGGACCATTTAGTGAGTTTTTTTACATGGCGGCGGAAGCTATATGAACGAGCTAACCCTCGTCTGCTGAGTTTTAAAAATGCCGGCTATTTTGTTGCTTTCTGTTGACGTCACATCCCTCCTTGAGTATATCCAATCAGCACCAAGTAAATCCCAAGCCCCAACCAGGAGTCTTTCGGGGCCGTTCTCAGTACCTACTCCGAGGCAGGGACTTGTTTAACCCCCGTAAAAGTTCTGGAACTCTGTCCTTCGGGGGTGGTTTCTGCGGTGGAGACACGCACCAACGGCCCCGGCCCCGTAAAATTACCCCGAAGTTCCTGCGGTGGAAACGGGCCTTATGTCGGGGGTGGGGATTAGTACTTTATGCCCACATTGACCCACAATTTTTTTAAGTCACGGATCACTCAATCCCAGTCTGATTCTGTGCAATCCATGGCATAATTTACAAATAAATCAGGCACCGTTCACCCACTTCACCAAACTAATCTCATGTCACTGTGTGA